ATATAATTGAAAACTTATTTACACAATACTCAGAAAGTCTATGCGTGCTATTTTGGGCCAGGGATGAGTTGACACTCACAAGGTGTTTGATGCTAAATTATAGGTCGAATTGACACAGGGGATGGGGATCAATTGACACCCATTATTAATTTTACCCTCCTAAGCCAAAAAGCGAGTTTCGAAAAAAAAAAACATATTTTTCGTTTTGTAGTATGTGCGTGGATAAGATAATATCCCTGTGGGTGTGGAAAAAAATATTTAGATACCGCTGGATTGCTTTAAATTTTTAATTTTTTTAAATATAACATTTAAAGTTCTTGTGGTTTATAAAGTTATACAGCCATTTATTTAAAATAAAAAAACTATAAATTATTAATTTTTTTTATAGTGAAATGAACTTTGTATCTTTCTTAGTTAACGAGCTATTTACAATTGTTTAAATGAATTTTTAGAGCAATTCGTCCGTCCTGGACTTAACATATCAACAAAACTAAGAGTAGGTCAGGAATTATTGTACAAAAAATGTTTATAAAAATTAGTAGTGTGTCTAGGGCTGTGATTGAGCCGCCCCTGCTAAAACTACCTCTTTTATTTATATTTTTGTAAAAAAGGAATTTATAATATTGGATTGGCGCCTTAAAAATGATGTGCAACCCCTCCTAATGGGATCACCATGCAACTGATAAAAATACACATTAGTTTGGAAATGTATTTATTAAATTTAGTAGTAATTAAAAAAATATTTTTTTTAAACAATTAACAAATAATTAACAATTAAAAATAGACACTTGACAATAATTATTATACATATTTTATAAACTATTTAATTTAGTAAATGTTCAACATGTTCACCTCCTTCTTGAATACAAAAATATAAATAAAGAAGGTAGTTTTTTTTTATTTGTTACACCACCCAACAGTAATCACCATTTACTGGGTGGGAAAGACAAAACATTAGAATATAAATACAAATACAAAATTGTTAAAAAGCTATACAATACAATGTAAACATCCAGAAAAAAAAACTAACCGTACACAGGATAAAAAAATGGTTGTCTACATTGTATTACATGCTTTACATTATTTTTTTAAATTGTTAAAGAAAAAGCATTTTTAATCACATATTTTTTACATGCAAAAATGTCCAAGCTATCTTGAATTTCATGATATTTTTGAATAGATTGGTACATTGGAGATGAGTTCAAAACATTAGTTCTAGAAGCTGGCATGTAGAATCTCAAGTAAACTCTTAAACCAGCACGGAGGATTTTTAGATTAACGTAATTTAACAAATCAATACTCTCGACTGAGCCATTTAAAAGATTATAAAGTAGTAGTACTTGTTGAAAATTTCTGCGTATCACGAGCTCTGAAATATTGAATCTAGATATTAGTAAAGCGTGGGGATATTCCCTTGTAGGGTATATTCCATCTTAAATATAGGAAGCCGATTTTGACTTGTGTAGTAATTAGAATTCAGCATCACTTAATAAAACACAATCTGGATGGTACCAATTACCGCATGGACCCTTACATCCGACAAGATTCTCTTCCCTTTTCTTCAATTTACATTTAGCAAATAACTCGGGCATTTTAATTCTATATATGCAAGTAAATGTGTGCAGTTGGTTCACACCCAACAGGTTGAAATCGAGAAAAAAGCAGTAGATAAATTATTATTTTCAATTCAATTCAAAACATAACACTGCTCAATTGAAAGTAAAATCAAATTTCTGTAACGTACCTTCACTTTCTAATGATAAAGAACACTTTATAAGCCGTTTGGTACTATCAAACCAAATTATAATTCGCTAATTGTGAAATAAAACTTTTACGAAGACAGAATCACAACAAACCTAACGGGTCAACGACACGAAAGTATTTGCAGGGGTGGCTAAAGCACAGCCCTAGATACACCACTGATTTTTATATGCGTTTTTTGTACACTAACTCCTGACCTACTCTTAGTTTTGTTGATATGTTAAGTCCAGGACGGACGAATTGCTCTAGAAATTCAGATAAAAATTGTAAATAGCTCGTTAACTAATGTAAGGGGTTTTCTCGCCTCAGAGAAAACGGTTCCTTACGAATGACGCTGGTTACGGACGGTTCTCGAGCGCCAGATTTTTGGTGATGGTTTACTCCACAAACTTTCGAAACAGCGTCGAAAGTACTCGGGCAGCACAGATGGAGATGAAAAATTCCAGGGGTCAAAGGTTACTTAGACTCAAATAATTAGTAGCCACAAATAATGGGCTTTAATCACTACTTGTGGTTGCAAAGAATTTTTCACTGCTGAAAAATAAGGGGGAAGTAAATTGGTGATCAGTAAACTCAGTAATAGTCACGGTAATTTTGACACATATATTGATTTTAACTATATACACTAAAAAAAAATAAAAATAATATATTTCAACGCCCACCCTCGGTTATGAAACCCTGAACAAAAAAAAATGAAGCAATGGCAAAACGGTAACGAACGGCTGATATAGTTGGCAGGTATTCTCAATCAGATTGCTTAAACTGGATACGGTAAAGGGGTCGCGTATACAAAAAAAAATTGTATTCGGAAATCTCAGACTAAGGTCAAAATTTAAATCTCGGATAATATGAATTCTAAATTTACGGCAATTACTCTCAAATCGAGAAAAAAATAATCTAATTGTAAATCATGGATAATACTGATTCAACAATTTAAATTTACGGTAATTGTTTAAATCGCAAAGCAAATCAAAATTTTAATCAAGGATATTAGTTTTAAAAATTCCAAAATTTACGGTAGTAAATCAAAATTTAAATCAAGGCTAGTATGAATAAAAAAAATTAAACTTCGGCACTTCTGTAACTCGTGAGGACCACTCGAAATCTTTCTAAATGTTTGTTTCGTTTTTAAAACCCCTGAATACAATGAGCAAGCTACGGTGAATCAAACCCACACTACCTCTTATTGTTATTTATTATTATAACCCCAAGTCGGACAGGAATATCTAGGAAGAAAAATAACACACGGAACTTTAAGCCCTCAGTGAGTTATTTGGGAATAGACAAGAAGGAAAATTAACACACGGAACTTTAAGCCCTCAGTGAGTTAATTGCGGAAAGCTAGGAACGAAAATAACACACGGAACTTTAAGCCCTCAGTGAGTTGTTTGGGAATAGACAGGAAGGAAAATTAACACACGGAACTTTAAGCCCTCAGTGAGTTAATTGCGGAAAGCTAGGAACGAAAATAACACACGGAACTTTAAGCCCTCAGTGAGTTATTTGGGAATAGACAGGAAGGAAAATTAACACACGGAACTTTAAGCCCTCAGTGAGTTAATTGGAAGTAGCCAGGACGGAAAAATAAAGGAACGGAAATTTTATATTCAAAACAGGAAATGATACCCTCCCCTTTAGTAAAAAAAAAATATCGCGAACAGTCACACCAAACCAACAAAAAAATATTTAATTCCCTTATTTCCCACAAATAGGAATTTAACAAATCTATTCTTTTAAAAGTCTATCTAAATTTAAAAAAAATGAACACTCTAATTCCTATCTTTTCCCAATTTACTTATTTAATAATTCTATTTACAAAGTCAATTTATAACGGAAGCAGTCCTCACCGTTCGAAGACGATAATAAAAAAAATGAACACGGTCAATATCAAAACAAGAAACTATTCTTCGACTGTTAATTTAATTATTAAATTTCGGAATTTTTACAAAATTATTTACGTGTTAAAAAGTGATCTCAAACGGTGTTTAAATATACTAATTTAATTCGGTTTTAATTCCTATCTAAACTCGATACTACGACAAAAAATAAAAACGGGTTTTTTGTACTAACTGCGGTAAATATGGTTTTAGCTCGCGGTGCTGCAATTAAATTTATCGACTGACTCTTTCGATCGCTCGGAATGGAATTAAAAATTTTTCTCGCCATGGTCTCGTACTCGGGTCAAAAATATTTACCAATGTTCCACGCATGATCAACTTAAGTGGAAAAAGGTACTCGAGAAGGGGACGGTGCTTGCTGCCGGCGTTCGTTATCGTGTAAAAATATTAAAAATAATAAATTCCCAAATCTACAATTTTCTATAATATAAATTCAAAACCCTGGTTTAAAATGACTTTTGAAAACCATTGCTATATTGTGAAAGTACTATGAATTTTCGGATTATTATATATTTCAAAATAATAGATACAGGGTGAAGCCAAAAAGTTGATTTATAAATTATAATAGTAACGAATAATTAATTTTATTAAATTGACATGCCGGATTCTAATAAAAGTTAGATTTAAAATTATTATTAAGAATACTAATTCGGCAATTGAATAAAAAAATAGTAATGAAAAATGACTTCATTACACTAAGAAAGATACAAAGTTCATTTCGTTATAAAAAAAAATAAAAATTCATAGTTATTTTTGATTTTAAGATCGATAAAGCAAGTTTCTTTATGTCAAAAAAAAATCGGGGGATTAAAAGGTACCCAACTACCCAACCCCCCAACTTTTTTTAAGGGTATTGCTTTAATTTTTTCCCCTTAGAATATTGGGCCTTCAAATCTACAGCACCGGCAAAAAATTAAAAGAAAAAATCGCAACAGCAAACGTTTTACAAAAAAAAAAATGTTTTTTTGAATATTAGTTTAACGCCCTGTAACTTTGTTAGGAGGCAGTTTTTGATATAGGTAAATATAGTCAAATCCACTTATTTTTTGGTAATCTATATGCGGAAGAATTTATGACATACCTTTTTGAAACACTCTGTATTACCTCTAAACATCGCATAGTTGTTCCATTTTCGATTAGATCGACAGGATCATGTAGAGTTTCACTGGCGGGGAGTTCAGTGGCTTAATGTATTTAAAGGAAAAATTGAGAGTTAAAAATTGTTGAATGTTTTTCTCTTTGTACTTATAAATAAAAATAATTACAGGCATATCATCTCATTTTGTGGCAATCACTCTTAAATTTAAAACCACACACACCTAAATATAGCAAAATAAATACCTCGAATTTAAATCCTTCATCAACCAAATCTTCTAAAGAGTATTCAATTTTAGGGTCCTTTAATCTGAATTCTATAAGATATGTTTTATATGAAATAATTAATATGTAACACATGATCCACCATACTATAAACAAAAATCTCATGGAATTGAATTTAATAATTTTGAATGGATATGTCTGCTCATAAAGAGGACGAAACGATAGCTGAAATGAAAAAATATTTTAAAATTATTTTGTGAAATTACAATAACATTTATATTTTAATTTAATTTTCTACGTATTAGACTCGCATCTTGGTTTCTTTAAATTCTGTAGCTTTTCCGTTCTCCAAAATAAAAAGCGTAAATATGTTTATTCCGAAACCGGAAGAATTAAATTTTTATGTGGTAGGTACTGGTTATTTTATTTGATGTTCCTATTGATGATGACCCTTAGATAAAAGAGACCGAAGATGTAACATTGCACACTGCGCATGTTGTCTGTTTTAACTCCAAGTAACCCACCAATTGAAAATCATTGTTTGCACGACGCCACCCGAATTGCTTCGATTTCCCATTCAACGCTCACCTCCGCCTGAGTTTCAATCACCATTGACAGCTGTTTTTGATTTATTTGTTGGTGTTTTAGCAATTTAAAGTGTTCTAGTTATTCAATTTTAAACTCAAAATGCCACGATGTATCTTAAGAAATTGTATATACTTATAATAAAAGTACCAGTGTTATGAAATATAAAAAATATATTCGTTTTCAGCGGTAAATATTTATAAACGTTTTGACAGAAAGCGCCATAATCCTTTGAGCTGAATACAGCAGATCCTCATTAAGGGATTTCAATAAATATTCATCAAATACATTTCAGAAAACAGATTTCGTATTACTTACATAAATTTACAAAAGGGTAAAATTTTAAATATTTAATTTAAATAAGAAGTAAATAGACATTGTTACTAACGAAATTTTGTTTTTAAAAAGTAGTTTTATAAGAATATTTACTAAAGGTGGTTTTTTGCTCTTTTTGGTAGATAAATAACAAGTAAGAAGCATAGTTGATTAGTAGTATTTTTATAAGAATATTAGATAAAATATAGGATGAATAACTTAAAATTTCAAGATAATGTAATAATCGATTTTAAAGGAAATACAAAAATAAAGTAGATTTATTCAAAATAATCGATTAATTTAAAATAATCGATTTTTATGGAAAAATCGATTTATCGTTTAATCGGTGTTTTAATTAATCGATTATTTTCGATTATTTTCGATTAATCGATTATTTTAAAATTTTCAAAGGTATTGTATGAAAATAATTGATTGATCGTATATAATTCGTTATTTTATATAACCAATATTTCGGTTATTTTTTAAAAATATCGATTTATCGGTTAATCAGTATTTTAATATTTATTAATTATTTTTGATTTATTGATTTTTAATCGATTATTTTAGATTTTTCAAAGATAATAGAATAATCAATTTTAAAGGAAATATGAAAAGGATTATTAGAAAATAATCGATAATTCGGTTATTTTTTGGAAAATAGATTTATCGTAGAATCGGCTTCTTAATTAATCGATTATTTTCGGTATTTCAATGATAATCGAATTATCGATTTTAAATGAAATACAATAAAAATAAATTATTGATAATAATCGATTGATCGAAAACAATCGATTATTTAAAATAATCGACAATTCGGTTTTTGAAATCGATTTATCAGTTAATCGACTTTGTAATTAATCGATTATTTTTGATTTTTCAAAGATTATTAAATAATCTGTTTCAATGGACGAAAAAAAAAAAGATTATCTTAAAATAATCGATTAATTAAATAAACGATAATTTTTTGTAAACACTGATTTATCGGTTAATTGGCTTTTAATTAATCGATTATTTTTGATTTTTCAAAGATAATCAAGTAGTCTATTTTAAAGGAAATACGAAAAACAAATAGATTGAAAACAATGGATTGATCGAAAATAATCGATTATTTTCAATGATCGATTATTTATTTCGACAATCACTCATCCTCTATATTAATTAATATTCCTAAAGAAAGAAGCTGAGGTTACAATACAAAACAGCAATTTTCTCATTTTGACTAATTTTTAATATTATGTAATAGCCGTAGAAAAAATATAATGTTTGACTCAAAATAAATCTAATAGTTCATTATGATGCTAATAAACAAAGTCCGGTCCCTGCCACAGAGTTCGGGTCGCGCGTGTCGCCGCCCAGTTCCCACACTCCGTTAACATTTCTTTAGAAATTGGCAACATTTGCGCAGGTTAAAAAACCGGTGTATGTTATATCTCTGGTCTCTTTTATCTAAGAGATGATCACATTGGAGCAATTTGATTCTCTTCTTGCTTTATGAATTCACTATTAACCATATGTGAATCTAGGGATTTTTTATGAAGGAGGTGGAAAAAATCCTTTCTATCTCACACTGTTAATTTATTAGCGACGGGTTTCGGAATATTATCACGCACATCTAAATGGATAAAATTATGGCGCAAACATTATATACAGTGTGTCCCAGATTCGCTTCTATATACAGTGACCACGGCTCCAATTACACCTACAGCAATGGTTAACTTCAGATTTATCGGGTCAGTTGGTTATGGAAATATCGGCGAAATTCCAAGAATGGCGGAAGAAGAAAGAAGAAGAAGAAGAATAAGAAGAAGAAGAAGAAGAAGAAGAAGAAGAAGAAGAAGAAGAAGAAGAAGAAGAGAAGAAGAAGAAGAAGAAGAAGAAGAAGAAGAAGAAGAAGAAGAAGAAGAAGAAGAAGAAGAAGAAGAAGAAGAAGAGAAGAAGAAGAAGAAGAAGAAGAAGAAGAAGAAGAAGAAGAAGAAGAAGAAGAAGAAGAAGAAGAAGAAGAGAAGAAGAAGAAGAAGAAGAAGAAGAAGAAGAAGAAGAAGAAGAAGAAGAAGAAGAAGAAGAAGAAGAAGAAGAAGAAGAAGAAGAAGAAGAAGAAGAAGAAGAAGAAGAAGAAGAAGAAGAAGGAAGAAGAAGAAGAAGAAGAAGAAGAAGAAGAAGAAGAAGAAGAAGAAGAAAAGAAGAAGAAGAAGAAGAAAAGAAGAAGAAGAAGAAGAAGAAGAAGAAGAAGAATCTGTGTTGTGTCAGTGTGAAAGAAGCCAGAAGCTTATAACTTCGCTAGCAGAGTCAATGTCTACTTTGGAAATTTTGTAACCATCGTTAAATTATGTAATTTTCAAAATTACAATATTTAATATGTAATCATTGGCACAACAAATTAGGTAGTAATTAATATATTATGAATGGTGATTCCTACCTTATCGAGACTGAGGCTCTCAAGAGTAAACTCGTAGCGTAACAAAAACGAGAAAATGATTTAACTTGGAACGAAAGACCGAAAGCCGATAGTAGTATTAGGACGTTGAATTTTTTGGTTTGTAAAGCATTGGCATTACTTAGATTATACCATGTAATGATTTTTACAAGCCTTGATTTTTAAAACCATTCTATATCGCCTTTTGATTAGTGCTTAAAAACTTGTTTGAGCAATTTATCCAATAATAATTGGCCCCTTTACTGTTAAGCCTGCTCATGTAAAATATTTGGGCTCCTTACTTCGCCTATTTATATTCTATTAATAAAAGACAAAAGGATGAGTATTGCAACTATGTTAAAAGAAATAAATTGGCTCTCAGTTCAGAATTATGTTCAGTACATGACTGATATTTATTTATAAAATAAAAATTCAATCCAACTCCATTCGCAATATCACAACTATAATGAAAGAAGCCAATCTGATTCATGTACGACAAGCTATCACTAAAAGTTCCCCAAAATATAATTTTTATTAAAGGTTTAAAAAATTTAATAGACTGCCTACAGAAATTAAAAAACAAACAACAATAAATGTATTCAAAAGTAACCTCAAACAATACTTGATAAATAAATAGAATGGATATACTTTCTTGTGATAACACTCTTTAAAACCCGCCCATTTTTAAGTATTTCCCTTAAGTTATTGTTATTTTACCCGCATTTATTATAAATTATTTCTGTTTTAAGATCATGTAGGTACTTACTTTTTAAAAAATTACTTGATTATATTAATACTACTTACTATGTTTTAAATTATAAATAATTTTGGCGACGATAGGTTATAGCAACTTATAGCCACAAAACTATTTTTGTGTTAAAGTAGATCCATAGAGAGCAATGTAATTTACAGAGACCTTCTTATCAACATACAAATAAATGACAACTTTAAAAAACACAATAAAATACCTCGGTATCATAATTGATCAAAATTTGAAATGGGTTGATCACATTACGTCATTAAAATCCCAAGATAAGAAGATTCATTTTTAAATTTTATGAATTGAGGAAATTTATGACTAGGAGTTTACTAATTATTTATTACAATTCGCTGGTTGAATATGTAATCCAAAATCGTATAATTAAAATTATCTACAAAAAACCAGCATTCTATCCTACCTCTCTTTTATATAATAAAAAAGTGCTTTGTATAAGAACATTATATTATCTGTCTTGCTGTACCTTCATTTATAGAAAGCCTGAATTAAGATACACTACAAATTATTTGCAATAAATATCAAAAGAAGTATACATTTTTAAATAATTTGACATTTAAGAGCCATTCACACATCACAGTTGACATCTTCATACTTGACAGGCACAGCCAAGCATTATTTGGATTTATGCCAAATGAAATGGCTGGTTAATTATTCTTTGGGGTTGCGACAGAAAGCCAGTAAATTTGATGAAGATGTTTTTGTGGCTAAGGGCGAAATAGTAGTACGCTTAAGTTAGCACCACCATAAAAAGTCATTTTTAAGAAACTGCTTATATATTTTTCATATATTTGGCAGGCTTGGCGACTAACTTAGAATAAAAATAGCCTCCTAAATGGCTATGGTTGCAAGTATGAAGGTCGCAACCCGCCTTAGAAATTTGTTTGACAGGTCGTTAGAGAATGTTTGCAATTTATGGAATGTTAAGAATGTTAGGAATATTGCAATTCCTTAAATTGTCACATAAGAAAGACATAAGCGGATTTTAAGAAAATTGATATTAAAGTAGTTAGAATGAAACGAAAATTCTGAAAATTAATAGGGTTCTAGGTTGGAAGTAATAATTCAAGAAAAATCAAAATCGCAAGTCAACTAAAACTTTCGTTTTAGAGTTATCGTGCCGGCACACATACACAC